GGCCGCTGCGAGCTTCACTCCGTCCTTGGTGTGCGTTCCGTTTTGTGGTGCTGAGGGGTTTGGTTGCCATGAGCCCTATGTGTGACTGCAGGGCTGCTTCAGTGCCTACGAGTTACGAATACGTGTGCGAGGTCTCAGTTGCATGATCAGTGTTAAATCTCTGATGGAGCAGGGGCGTACCTGCTCTGGTACACTGCATTTGCTAGTGGGAACGACCTGGGATGCCCACAACGTTTCACTTACTGTTTATGTTAACAGATACTGTCTTGTTACACAGCGTTAACACAAAATGTCATCGCTGCCATCGTCCTCGTATTTACCTGTACGTAATTGTGCTGCTCCTCTACAGGACTTGGATCTTCAGGGAAAGTTTCTTCTTCCTCATGCTACTGAGGCAAGTTCATTCTGTGCCTGTTAAGCTTGATTTTTTCATACTGTTTGCTTTGCTAACAAGATTCAAAACATATTTCACAGCATACTTCCTAGCTACTGGTGGGAAGCACATGATATTGCCAAAAGTGGGTGGGAGTACCGGACATAAAAATGATATACTGAAACTGTGGAAAAAATAGTATTTGATCTTTTCTGCTTACACAGATGGGCTGGGATAAATGAAAAACAAAGTTTAATCTTTCAAGATGCTATTTTCAGTAGAAGTACTTGAATTCAAGAACTTAGTTTTGTTTAGATAACCAAGGAAAAGCTATAGAGACCTGCACTGTGCTGCACAAGTTGAGGTCTACCAGGAAATGTAAGCATGTAATAAACCAAGATACATAACTGTAGTTTTTGCCTTGTGGCAGCAGTTGGAAGCAGAGCAGTCCACATTCTGGTTCTGTCAGGAAGTGTTTGGAGAAGGGGTGAAGGAGATGGCAGGTTCCTGGTGCATGACAAGGGAGTGGGGGGAACAGGATGCACTTAGTAGACACTGATACTTGGCTCTGGACTTGCCATGACACAGGCAGCATCGTGTTCCTGTGCATCTCTGCCTGGTGAGCAGCTTTTCCAAACTGGGAAAAGAGAAATTCCATTGCTGCCTCCAGATTGGAAGAACTCTGCTGTGATACATAATATTGGTCTCTGAGCAAGACTTGGCCTCTACCTTTGCTGGAGGGAAACTGTTTACCTTTGCACTATGGATTAGGTGTGCTCTGTGAGTGAGTAGTTTGAGTTTTAATTACTTCTCCTAAGTGATTCTGCTGAAGAGCTGACTTCTTTCATGTTGATATCCTTGAATGAGCAAGATTAGCAAGCCCAAACTGTGAGTGATGCTAAATGTTATGTAATTATGAATGCTAGTTCAGGGGAAAATGTATGTGCCACCTGGAGAAGCAGGAAAACTCTGTTCACTGATTCAACCACATAAAAAGGATTATCATAGAACTACACAAGCCATCCAAGATGGAAGATGTTTTACTGATCTAAGCAAAGAATCTGACAGCGTAGAACACCAAGTAAGAAAATACGTAAGGCATAAATACAGAACCAGTGTGAGTGTACGTTTCTGACACAGATCTTAAACATTTAATCTTACCATCTTCTTTAATAGATCTTTCGGGAAGATTTTTTTGTTATGTCCTATGCACTAAGTTGTACAGGACATAACAAAGTTGGAAGACATTTGGTGGGCCAAATCAATTATCATCTGAAGTAATTTTTTAATGTTTCCTACTTGTCTTGCAGCTAAACAGCAAAAACATTGACACCTTGATGCAGAAGTTAAGTGAAAACATGTTCCAAAATACTGTAAGTAAATTAAAATTTCTGTCTCTCTTTGTTCTATGCTGTACATCTGAAAATGGCTGCATCATAGGATCATACAATTTCAAGTGACAGTGGCAAAGCGGGAGTGTTTGTGATTTATCATCACAATGTGGGATCTTAGTTTTACAGCTGAAATGGTCATCAGTGTGCATTTCCATTGCATGGCTGTGTTCAGACATTCAGATAATTCCTTTGTTATTTTTTTTTCCCCATGAAGATTCTCAGGAGAAAAACACTTGAAAGGGAGAAACAGGTTAAAGAACTTACATCCAGGCTTCAGCTTGAAAAAGTGAGTGATCAGTTCAGTTGGAATCCACGTTTTCTCCCAGTGTAATAAATAGCATCATATGACATATCTCCCTAGACTAATAGAGCTCTGTTTATTTCCCGTTCTCAGGCCAATGTACAGAAGGGAGAACATTTGTCAAGATCAGCAAAGACAATACAAGTTCACCTGCGACGTCAGATTCAAAGAAAAGAAGCAGAAAATGATGAATTGAAAGTGAAAATACAGGTCAACATAGTTTTTACATATTTACAGCTTCAGTTTATTTGAAAAAATAGCAAAGCCTTATTGTGGTCCCAGTTTGACTCAGATGTGAGAGTTGAATCCTAAAGTATCACTTGAAATCAAACTCTTGGTAAAAGAAAAATCCTGAACAGTAAAAATCATTAGGATTTCCATTTTGCAGTCTGCCTGACCACGCTGTCTTGATTGCAAGGTTTTGTCATTTGTTTTCTTTTTCCCTTCTTTCCTCAACTTGTGCACACTAGCAATTCTAAACAAAAGTTAAGCACACAGAAGCATTTGCACTCTCCTAACCGTGCTATCTAGAAGATAGATACTGATCCAGAGGCAGTCTCCATACAGTGAATAGAAAGAGAGAGGCAAGTCCTCAGGATGAGTGGCTGTTGTAAGATAAGGATGATGAATCACCACCTATTTATTGACTGTGAAGAAGTCAATAAACCTCTTAATACTGACTAAAAGAGAAACACTTAAGACTAATGCCTAACCTTGCTTTGTTTAAGGTAGCTGGAAATACTTTCATTTCCTGTTCTATATAGCAAGAAGTTCTATAAAGCAAGAAGTAAATTTGGGTATTTGCTTCAGTTACTGGCTTTAGAACAAGGCAAGGAAGAGGTCATGTGTCGGAGGCTGGAGCGTATGTACCCTCCGATTTCAGTATTTGAAACTTGTCAAGAACACAGGCAATGAATGAGAAAACATTGGCTAAAAAAGAACGTATTTCTCACTTCCAAACTTTTTTAGTAGCATATATTCCCTATTAATTGTATAATTTGTTAAGAAACCTATAGCAAGTTGGTTTCAAAAAAAGTCACATCTGTACTAATACCTCCTTTTCTCCTAAATAAAAACTGCTTTCTTGTTCTACCTAGTACAATTATAGAATTCCAACATTTTCATTAGATGAGATAACTTGATACACAACTGTATTTTCATTCAGTCTCGATTTAAAAGTTTTGTTTGTTTGCTCCTCAAAAAGTACTGAAGCCAGTTGATAGCTTAAATCCTGGTGATGATTTTGGTAATAACCTGGACAAAACCTTGCGAAAGCTTAGCAACACCCTTATGAAATCACTTCTTCATTTAAATTTACCTCAGCCACTGATTAATGCCCAGAGCACTTATTCTTAGTGTGATTGTGACCTCCTGTGGTTATGACAAGGGATAACAGTTGTGTGCTTAAACCAACGGTTGAGGAGTCTTTACATAGACTCTGATTTTCTATTTGCTCTATTTATGGAAGGTGTTCTGCTGCTGCCCTGACCCAATCATGTCTTTGTTCATCAAATGGCTTATAAGCAACTGTATATAAAAAGTGCTTCCTGCCTATTTGTTTTTTTTTTTATCATTTTTTGAAGCAGTGCTGTACCTGAGACCCTCTTTTACTTGGAAAACCAATACTTTTTTCATTAATTGTGGAAAAGTTTTGGGGCCATTAGCAGGACCTGTACTGACAGATACCCTCTCATATGCATAATATGTGTATTTTATATCAACTGGCAAATAGTAGCTTGAGTAAGGTTGGCACATTAACACAGTAGGTAAATGGCATGTCATTTTGGTCTTTATTCATGTAGAACATAATTAAGTGTCAGACCTAGACTCAAGTGAAGGAAACAGATGCATTAATCATTCTTACAATTACGATATTTATCAGTGTCTTGCAAAATTCATTTACACTGCTAGGCTACTTACATTGCCGTAGTTTGGCAGATGTATAATAAGTGATAAGAATGGGGCTTGCACTTGTCTTTATGAAAGTAGTTGTCTACTGGTAGCTTGGTCATGTTTTTGATAAGCTGTACCACCTTAGAAAGAACCAAATCTGAGATTCTCCTTGAAGCAGAGTCCGGTGTTGATTTTATTGTATGTCATTGTGTAGTGTTTTAATGTTTGGTCTTCTTTTCCCATTCATATTTAAATAACAAATGATATGTAGCTGAAAAATACAAAAGTCATAAAGTTAGAGATGTCAGCTTCCTGAATTGGATGGGGTTAATTCATTGCCTTCAATCAGTGATGTAAAAATCCAGTTAGTCAGAAATACTAACAGTAGTAGAAAAGATAATATAATGACAGTCGTAGAACTCAGCTCTCATCTCAGTTGCATTGTACACATTTCATAATATAATTAAATGCATTAAAAATACATTTAATGCAAATGTATTTTATTTCCTGAGTGCTGCAAAATCAAGCACTCAGGAAATTATAAGTTGTCCTCTTACAATGCGTGATTTAATGCTGTGGGTTAAGCTTTATCACAGACTGTTTTAATTATCTTTAAACAATTGTCTGCTGTGGACAAGGCAGTGCTTAATCTTTTCTTTTTACATTTTCTCCTTCACTATCCATTGAACACAAAATACAGCTTTCCATAAAAAATAGTTTTGTTCCATAAAAAATAGTTTCTTTACTAAAAATTCTGTTTCATTAATACAGTGGGGCCATTATATGCATGGAAAAAGTCAGAGATCTTGCAAGAAGATAGTGTTTTGTCATCTAATAACAGACTGTACCGTAATGTGTATATTCAAGAAAAGACCCCAGCCTTTCCTAGCTTCTTGACTTAAAAAATCCAAATCCAAGATCTTCACTTTCATACGTAAATTTCATATGGTGTTATACTCATCTCCAGCCCTAGTTATGTGTGTGCTCACTACAGATTCAGAGCACATACTACTACTGCATTGGTGAATATCACATCCCTGATATTCCCAACCATCTTTGTGATGAGTTTCCCAATATGTATTTTCTGTTGCTTACTGCTGTATCTATCTTGGCTAGCTCCTTGCATCAACCGTAAGGTTTGAGATACAAAGACATTATGGAAACAGATTATAAATGTAATTGATACTTATGTCACAAAATGATCTGTAAGGTATAGAAATTGAAAAGATTTGATGTTTAATTATTCTGCAGACTCTACAGAAGAAAATAGCAGCATGGAAACTTCAGTTTGGTGAATGCAGGCATCGGATGTTAGCCTTAAAGGAAACAAGTGAGCAAAAGAAGACCGCTCTGAAAAAAGCAGTCAGGTGCCAGAAACAAAGAGCTGAGCACTTGGAAGCAGCTGTGGAAAAATTAACCTCCAAAATGAAAGAACGTGTGAGTGACTATGCTGTGAGCAATGTGCTGTATTGTTTTAAATTGAGTAATTGGGAGACTTTCTCCTGTGGAAACAGAAGTTGGTTGGTCCTGCTGTGTTTGTATCTCTTTTTTTTCTCCTTGGTTAAGGAAAAGGTTGCTATAAGTGACATGCAAACTGTAACTACTTTCTTTTGTTAAAATTCACTGAATGTCTTAAGCCATGAAGTTGTACATAAGAGAAGTCTAATGAGACTTCAAAAGTCAGTTACACCTTTCCTGATCTTCCTGTTAACGCCTTTGTGAATACACACTGACTTAACTCAGAAGTACAACATAAGACCTGAGAATCCATGACTGGGTCTTGAAGTCTTTGTTTTCTTTATCAGTGTCTGACATCTCATGTGGATACTTAACTTTCTGAGCTGCTTGCTCTGAACCTTTTCAAAATCCAAGCAGAAAACTTCATTAATCCAAATTGTTCCTTAGATTCTTGCCCTGCATATCCCCACAGCGTGTCATTGTTCAAAAAGGCCAGGTGGATCAGAACTGTGCCAAGATCTTATTGCTTTATTTAAGCTTCCTAAAAAGAGCATGTTTTCACACCCTCAGATGTGTTGCCAGAATTTTGGATATGCCAGTATTAAAGGTACATTTTTCCAGTTACTATGCCAGGAGATGGTTAAAAATGGGGCGGGTTTTTGTTGTTTTCTTTGATCTTTGTGAGAAGACAGTAGTGGATCCTTACGTACACTTAGCAGTACAGAGGGATGACAGCTAACTCCTGGTCTTTTGATGTTTTGTAGTCACACTGTTGCTTTCATTCCCCATTGACCTAGTGTACTTTCAGGATTGCATGTGCTGGTTAATTATTTGTACTTCTTTGAGGAACTTTACCTAACTTTGCATTTCTTACTCAGCTATTATTTTTCATACTGTTTTGCATAGCTTTCTGTAATTTCTCTGCAGTAGAGATTAGTGGAGACAAATACTTTTGTTGTAAGAAAAAGATTTAATCTTAAATTTTGAGCTAAATTATTGTATTCTACAGTTGATATACAGTGCCAGTGTGACTCTGCCTTGAAAGTAAGTCTGTACTTAGACTGTACTTGTTTAAAATGTGGGTAGTTTTGTTCATTCTCTTTTGAGACAAGACAAAATTGACATTGCTTTGTACTAGGGTGATCCAATAAAGCCAACTTATATTAAATTGCTCTTATGTTTAGAAAAATGGGTAGAATGAGATGGCATTCTTCAGTGGCATTCTTTTGTTTCATAATCTATAATTCCTGTGTTGTGTAGGAAGTCAAACTGTCTGAGATCCTGTCAGCTTCCAGCAGTTGGAAGAAGCAGCATGATAAAGTGGTTGAAGGAAATACAACATTAGAAACTCAAACAGAAGATCTTAAGAAGTAAGTTAAACTGTTGTTCTATTCTTTTGTTTCTGTAGTCACACTGTTGATATTTAGTAGTGCAGCACTCAGTGTTGACAGTGTAAACATGTTTATCTAGTCACAATTTTAAATTCTGAGCAGAATTTAGAAGGTGGAAACTGGAACAGAGTTAAGATTTTTAGCCTCCTCTGCTTTCACAGCAACTCTTTCACAACTTGTTTAAAAACTTAAGAACACTGAAGGAGTATGTTAAGGTACAATTTAATATGCACAGTGAAAGTTTTGGAAGCATTGTATATTTTACAGAAGTTCTTGCCTATCTAATAAGACAGATCACAAGACTTTTGGAAGACCTGAAAAGAAAGGAGGAATGGAGAAGAAACTCAGATGAGGAAATTCTTGGAAAGCTAAGTGCTGTTAACTCTGAAAACGAAAAGATTTACCTTGAAAATGAAAAATTAAAGGTGAGACCATTATAAATCATTGTTGAATGGCTCTGCATTTCTGATACATTAATGAAATAATCACATTCATTTCCTTTGGGCCTTCTGTCTAGAGATCCCAAACCTGTAGAATAAATTTTGCTATCCATTTTTTACAGTAAGTGAAAGTGAGACACAGCAGATTTATCAGTGGAAATTTATGTCTAATCATCTCTCTGCTTAACCAGGATGCCATTTATTTCACTGTCAGTAGCTACAGAATTGCTTAGCTAGAAATTGTTATTGTATGTTTGTAAAACTTCCTTTCAAATTAAAGAACTGAGTTCAGCTCAATTATTAATTTCAACTTTTAAAGGGTTTACAGGTTTTTTTATCCTCCAAAGTAAATGTTCTCCTGAGCTGACAAACCAGCTGTGGGCTCTCATTTTTGTTTTGAAAGGATAAATAACTGTGTCACCCTTTTGAATGCCTTTAGGTCACTTGCTAGTGATATCATATGGTAGATTGTGTTCTTTTAATAGCACTCTTACAATTTTTGTATTTTCCATGTTTTAATCAAGGCTTCCCTTGCTGCATTGGAAAACAATACTGTTTCTGTTGAAAATGAGCGGCTAAATCTGCAAGAAAAGGCAAAGCTCCAGGAAAACCTCATTGAACAATATAAAAGCCAGGTGAGTAGCATGTTTGAAATGTTCATATATGGTTTTTTAATTCTAAGCAGTTTTGAGAAAATGATTAAGGTTTTGTTTGTAGTAAATGAGAATTGTTATGGTGATTGTAATACTGTTGTAACACTGGGGATAAGAGAAGAGAGTGCCATTACAAACCATATCCAAAAAGAATCTCCACACTACTACTGGTACACTTAATTGTAAGTGTATTGTGTGAAGCCCAGCTGAAGCTCATTGAGAGCCAATAGAGCCAGTTACATACTGGCTTAGAAAAGATTGCTTCCTAAAAAACAAGTTTACAACCCAGTAAACTATATTTAAAAAGTAAGATTTGAGTCTAATGGCTTTAGTGGACATAACCAAAGATACTTTACCTCTCCTTGGTTAAGGAGAAGGACTTAGGGGTGTTGATTGAAGAGAAGCTCAACATGAGCTGTCAGTGTGTGCTTGCAGCCCAGAAAGCCAACCATGTCCTGGGCTGCCTCCAAAAAAGTGTGACCAGCAGTCGGGGGAGTGATCCTGCCCCTTTGCTCTGCTCTTGTGAGGCCCCACCTGGAGTGTTGGGTTCAGCTCTGAGGCCCCCAACACAAGAGGGATGTGGAGTTGTTGGAGTGAGTCCCGAGGAGAGCCATGAGGATGCTCCAAGGGCTGGAGCACCTCTGCTATAGAGACAGGCTGAGAGAGCTGGGGTTGTTCAGACTGGAGAAGAAAAAGCTTCAGGGAGACCTTATAGCAGCCTTCCAATACCTAAAAGGGCTGTCAAGAAAGCTGGAGAGAGACTTTTGACAAGAGCAAGTAGTGACAGAACAAGGGGAAATGGCTTTAACCTGCCAGAGGGGAGATTGAGATGCGCTTTTAGGCAGAAGCTCTTCCCTGTGAGGGTGCTGAGGCGCTGGCACAGGGTGCCCAGAGAAGCTGTGGCTGCCCCATCCCTGGCAGTGTTCAAGGCCAGGTTGGACACAGGGGCTTGGAGCAACCTGCTCTGGTGGAAGGTGTCCCGGCCCATGACAGGGGGTTGGAGCTGGAGGAGCTTTAAGGTCCCTTCAACCCAAACCATTCTGTGATTCTATGGTATCTTTATTTCCACATTCCTAAGAACAGCAAACCAGCATTCAGGTACTGTTGTAAGAGTTTTTATTTATGCAGGTAGTTCTACACTGAAAATACCAGCAAAACAGAAAAATCAGACTTAAAAAGGGCTTTTTATATTCGCCTTTAATCACAGAGAAGACATTTTAGAACTTTGATTCTAAGTTGTCTATATATTTCTGCACTAGTATAGACACCATTTCATTGACAGTCTTCACTTACCGCTTTCAAAAATTATTGACAAGAGAAAAGACATGATATAAGTACAATTAGTGTGCCTTGTCTGTAGTATACATCACCACAATTACAGTTGTTGCCAGCTTTAAGACGGGCAATGTGGTTCCAGGAAACAGCCAGCCTTAAACAATGAGTGGAATGAAATTCACTTGTAGCTGAGGTGACTCCAGATGGGAACTGCTGGTGATACTTGTTATCTGAAGGGTGAGTCATGCTGGCTGCTTCTGTAGCACAGCTGTAGCTCATTCTCCATAGTTGAATATCAGGTGCTGACATCAGAGTGCTCTTTACCCGGTTACCTTTTTATATGTGCTGTGGTGAGCAGGAAATGAAAATAAGTAACTTCACATTATGATAGATACTGAGGTTCTGTTTAGAAATCAGAGGTTTTCCTTTATGCTTCATACTAATGATTCTGTATTTTCTGTATTTACAAGAAGCACCTTGCAAATGCATGTGAAAAGTATGTGTTGTCCTAGGTACAAGAATTACAAACAGCAGTAGAAGAACTGAAATCCAGATATGCAACAGTCTTAAATGAAAACAAAAGAATAATAGAAGACAAAAGCTTAGAGACAGATAAGGTAAGTTTTGGAGTTATAAAGCATGTTTCCAAACAATTCTGTAGGACATGGGTCTTTCCTACACTTTTGTGTAGGATCCACTTAAAAGTCTCAAGGTACTGGCTCTTTTTCCATGTCTAAAATTGTTCTTAAATTCACTAGATGTTTTACTGCCTCCTGGGAGCTGGTGTTTTTTGGTTACCACTCAATTGCAAAAAGGTGAGAATGGTTCCTAGAGTAATGACAAAGGAGCTGGGCTGCTATTTTGGAATGTAAGGATTTTTTTTATCACTTTTAAAGATGGGATTTCGTTGATGATTTTAAACTAGATCTTTCAACAGTACAGCTGTGAAAGTTGCATCCAGAAGCAAACCTACTGTAAGCCTGCTTTGTTTAACTAGCAGTTAAAACAGAGCATCCATACAGAGATGAGTTCTGAGTTTTTCAGCAGATGGAGCTGAATACTGGAACACAGTGATCACATTCTTAAGCATCAGAAAACAATACAAAACTGATAGGAAAATCATTTTCCTCAGTTCCCCATAGCTCATCAAAACACATATTCTTTTAAGCTATAAAGCTGTGGCAGGGATAGGTTTTGCATTGCCTGCAATGTTGTGTTTTAGAGAACAGAATTAGTCCTCACAGAGAGCATCTTAGATGTTCATTTTATTTCATACTAACTTTATTTTTCCATATTTGAGTTGTAGAATGGAGAAAAATACTTTTCTGAACCCCAAAATAATATTTGCACAGCATTGTATGTGGCTTCAGATGGCATCAGGTGTTGCCCTCTTTTCCAATAGTTGTATGGTCAGATTTTTTCCTGTAAGCTGTTTAATGTGGCTGTGTGCCATCTCCCAAAATACATTGCAATGAAGACAACATCAAAATTTGGGTATTGCATGATGAACTGCTACCACTTGCATAATTTTGTATGTGTTCATTATGAGTGTTACTGGTTCTTTAATGAAATATAGTCACAGATGGAAATTTCTCCAGTGGTGAACTTCTGACTTCATCAGTATTTCATAAAATAATTGATATTTTGCAACTTGTGTAGAATTTTAGGTTTATTACTTCTGCAAAGTCATTAAGTATTACAACAATTAATTTATGGTTTTACACTTGCATTTTTCTCCTGTGATGCTACTATGCAGGTGAGGGACAATGTGGACACTCAGTTAAAGGAGTTAGAGCATGGTTTTGAGTTGCTGGAAGCACCTGAGGAAAAGCAGCAATCATATCAGGAAAAGCTTATGTCCTGGGAAAGGATCCATGCACAGAAATGCAAAACCCTTATGGAGCTGCAGGTTCAGGTGCTTAGAATATGCTGACTTCTAAAGATAACTGAGGAGATTTTGTAGAAGGAAGTCTCTGGGCCATTTTTCTCCTATTAGCATGTATGACAGTTGTGTAGTTTCCTTTCTTATTTGCTTCATAAGTCAGGAGTTTCTTCTGTAGAAATTACATAAAGCAAATCAAACTATTGGCAACAGTATTTATGTGAATTTAGAATTCGACAAGACTACTTACTTTTAGATTCTGTATCTTTTCAGTGAGTATATTCTTGATCCTTTTGAATACTTACAGCCTGAGACGTGTTGCAGAATTCTTCCCTGGAAATAAATGTGCAAGTCTAGTTACTGTTTGTGTCTGGTGGAATAATTTAATTCCATGGTCATTTTGGTTTTAATGACTAATTTATAAACCAGACAATATTTGCTCAGATAAATAGTCATAAATTACATTGTTGGTGATGGATAACTTTAACATTTTAATGATTTCATTATGTTGCTTGATAAAATACATTTTAAATTATGCTTTAATAGGATCAGATCTATTTTTAGCAGTATGTCAGCACTACTGCTTGTGTTCTCTCTTAAGCCCAAATACAAATATTCCTTAGCTTTTCTTTCTGTGACATTGGTGTCAATGGCAGGGCTAAGTTTGGGGAATGCTCTTATACCATGAATGACAAAGGTGTTTGAATCAGT